GAAGACACTGACAAAATGAGGAATTTCCTGAATACCTTCAGCAGAAATCTGCGAATATTTTGTATGCGATTCGCTCCCCTCATCAAATGTATGATGATCCTACAAGACTGGACTACATCGACTCCTAGTGAAGCGCTGGAGCGTGTTCCTGGTCAACTTACGCCATCTCTAGCTTAATAGACGTGATATCCAGTTGGCTGTCAACCAAAGGACCTGTGTACTGCTCAACAGTCCACTCTGTCCTCCTGTACGGCTATAAGTGACACATGGCCATTGAAAATGGAAGGGATGAAAAGGTCGGGTAGCTGCCTTCAACCATAGGGACCCATCCTCTATCTTGCGTGTGTATTAGGGCAAGCAATATTGAGGTTAGGCTTCGTTCGACTGCCAGGTAAGGAGGGCATATCAATCGACGAGGTTGTGAAGCAGCTGCGTCAATTGAGATGGTTAGGATATATGTTAAGCATGCATGCCTAGCCATCGCCTTCCTCGACAATGGGCGGTGTTAGTTGACAATGGATGGATCAGGTAGGAAAAGAGAAAGCTAGTGGTGGTGGTCAAACAAAAACATGGCCTTATCAGTCTATGAAATCCACAAGTTAGTTTAAGCCAGCCAGCCACGTAAGGAGGTGTAGACTGGCATCGTCTCTGGGGTCATAGGGACGCCAAGAACCAGTGGCTGGAGACAATCCGTGATATGGCTCAAAACCGTTCTCAATGATGGCTCAGATGCATTCACTCTCTGTGGTCTATTATATCCAATAAAACTATTGTTCTTCCATATTACTATTCTGTTCGCCTCACACTTCTATTTATCATCTCTGTCTTGAACCTCTTTTTACTCTGTTCTCTTGCTTTTTGTGCTACATGGAGGGTGATACTGGTGCACATCTGCGTAAAGTTATACGTTGAAGCTTGTAAGTCAGTCACTTAAATCATTTCAATAACTATGAAAAAAGAAAAATAGTAAAGACCGAAATTCATGGAAAAAACAAAAATACAAAGTGTAGTTGAAATGATTACTTTTATTAAACAGTATGAGATCAAATAGATGAAGGCTACAAAGAGTAATCTGTTAAAAAAAGCATAAGGAAATATAAACGTAAAGTTAAATTTTGTGAATTGAGTACCACCTCCAAAAAAAAACAGATAGGTCGATGTGCACAACTATAGGGAGCTACACTCTTCAATCATCGTTAATAGAAACTTCCAGGAGGTTAATCAGTGGATAATCGACAGCATCTGTCAAGGATAAACTAACAGTCAGAGAACAACATGGATGCCATCATATAACAGTGTGTTTACCCCAAGATTTTGTTTAAACCTACACTCCTAAACAAATACAGTAGGTTCGGACCTGCATAGTACATATTCTAGCTACCTCAATCGACTCAGCTTCACAATATCATTGATTGAGTAATTGATAAGAAAATAAGTTAAAGTTATGACTTTATCATCACTTATTTTCAATCAATTATGCATTGACAAACTTATCTTGAGATCACACTATCCAATTATCATTATTATTATTATTTGGTTACACCCTGCAGTGACTAAACGATTTATACATTAAGGTTTGAAAGAGATTGAATGTAGTCGAAATAGCTCAGTCGTAAGAATCTCCACATTCATACTCAGTAAAAGCTTTCTACTTACTATCAGAAAACTGCCAGCAACTGTTGATCATATTCAGCTTGATCGACACTTTGCTTTTAACCACTTTATGTCTGTCTCAAGTTTTATGCCTTGTTACAGGGTCCCCATTATGAAATCAGACAACATCCCTCACCAACTACTTATGGATATCGGCATTTTCATAAACCATACGACAACACTGTCACTATACACTATAAATAACTGAAGCCTTATAGATCAGTCACCTCGACAGAACCATCACGTTTCTCCTGGCCACTACCAGGCAATACGAACTGTCAGCTAGACAGCACAACATTGCCTAACTGGTATCATAAGCAGACATTTAGAACAATGCTTCCGGAAGACGTGGAACGGAACGAGGACATGAATACAAGGATACAATCTAATTCTCTTGTAGGAAGAGACTGCAGAATTAATTCTCTGACTGATTATAAACACATATCACAATCTTTCATCAACTGAATCTGCAAAAGACTTAGAGGTGGTAGTGTGACAATCTGATTCTAAAACAGATTACGGAAAGAAATATGAACCACCGGGCCTATTATCTATGTGTTGCGTAAACTTCTTGTCTTCGAAACCATGTCTGTTTATTCAATACAAAAGTTACACTTTCAGTCCTCCTTATGCAGAGTCCTTGCTATCAACCACTTCGACCAAATATTGGTTTAATTGCCTGAAAATACTGCTTGGAGAGCAGACAGCCAACTGAACATATTCCGAACACTGTCAACTAAAGAAGGATTGACTTTGAAGAAAGTTAATGGATGTCAGACTAAAACAGCATAAATTTATGAAGTATGTGTTAGCTGCTTTGAGACAAGTACGGTGAAATGGTCAGTAGTTTATAGGCTCTAGATGAAGTGGCGCATATGCATTTTAATACCCATTAACGGAATCCTGTACATTTTCAATATTCCCACGTACACTTTATCTGTTACAGTGCCATTATGTGAACACCTCAGCAAAGCTCTACGACGATTCACTAATCAGTCAGTTTGGAAATAAGTATAGGTTAGTGAGTCCTACACCTACTATTCATACTTCATCTCCGTAGCTTTTCTGGTCTACCGATTCCAAGAAGAATTCGTTAACATTCTAAAAGTTTAAAAAGTTATGAATACTAATCCAACCAAATTATTGAAAAGTTAAATTAGATATGTAAAATAAGGCCTACTAGAGCTAAAATGATCTAATCATTAGGCAAAATATGTAGAACCACCTACAAAATCATCACATTTAAGCAAATTTTTAGGCAAGGTTCAACAGTAGCGTGCCAAGAATGTGAACGCTCCTATGACCTTGAACGCATGCTAACGGCACCTGTCATTATCACAGCTGAAATATCAACACTATACACCAACTGAGGAGCAAATTTCACCCAGATCACGTTTTTAAGTACTTTTTGGACAATGTGTTAATAGCTCATTAGGGTTAGAATTGGGGTTAAGATAAGTATTGCGGTTAGGGTTGGGATCAGGAATAAGGTTAGTGTTACGATTATGGATGGATTTAGAGTTGATGTCATTTATTTTAATTTGTTTTATTATCCACATTTTCCTGGTAAGTAGTTGTTGATCCTCTCTCTGGAAGCTATAGTAATTCAACTGAGGGTTTTCGGGAAGACTTCACAACAGGATAAGAGAGATAATAGATTCACACAAAACAGCTCATCTTCAGTCACCTCGGTGAATACATGAATAAAAACTAGTCTAACTTGTCAACTGATGCTCCTCATTATAACTGGGATGTATTTTTAAGTCAATTCAAAGATAGATACCCTATTTCATATGTTTTCATGCATTTTCTTGTAAATAAACGTCATTCTTCATGCAAAAATTCCTCATTTTTAAGATTGGTCCGCTCAGGGTCACTCATGCTTTCACATTCGTTGGAATGCTATTGTTAAACTTTGCCGATATTTAAACATTCTAACATTATTACATGAAAATTTCATACAGCCGGTTCCCTTTATTAGTTTCAATAAAGAATGAACGAGCACATATATTTGCAGTATAATACGAACTAATTTTATTTCGTGGATTTCCCCTTCAGCTGCGTACATCCTAAATAAATTGATTATATGCTACAAAATTTATGAACATCATACTGTTATTTTCTAAAAGGCAGCAAAGTGGGCTCAGGTGAAATTGCCAGACACAGTGGAAATTAGTCAGACTTTCAAAATAATCAATACACAGAGAAAAGCATGGTTACTTCGGTTCACAGACGCCATTGCCATCAAAAAACTGCAACCCAACCTATGCATACAAAAAGATAGTGTGACTAATCTTTCACTACTCTGGTAACTGTAATTATTTTGTTCGGGTGCTTTTATATTTCATTCTGTTGCGTAACATCGTGATTTTGACTTTCACTCATTGAGTTCAACTCACTGATAAGGTTTCAAATCTACTAGATTAAATTATTTCATCTTTTTTATAATTTTACTTGACTATTCACCCTGCCGACTCTTCCGAACTCTCCGCCATATGTATAAAGTAAGTCTGTTGTTCTATCTTGTATTTTGCCTCTAGTCCATCCTTGTTTCCAAGTGAAATCTGAATTCTACCCGTTTTGTCTATTTACTAAATAAATAGTTAATCTTTTAACACTAAATAATTGGTCTACTTACATCACCTTTGAGAGTATGTTGCTTATACTCTCTGTTTATAATTTGAAGTCATTATAAAAAGTATGCTCAGAAATTCTGTAATCTATAATTGATTTAATTAGGATGTAAGCAGTTGAAGAGAATCCATAGAAATAATACGAGCTTTTATTATCCTGTAAATATATGGTCGTTCTTTCTTTATTGAAAAAAGGCTTTTTGACTAAAGTACCCCATTGTGTGATAAGAGAAAAAACCCACTCACAGAAAATGAAGTTTTTAAAAAATTCTTCGAAAATTTAACCACATATATGAATGCCAAAAAAGACGATACAGTGTCTTCTTCCTTGGTGACTATCCACTAACTGTGGAATCCGAGATGCTCATTCTGTCCTATTTGAAACTCATCCGAGTGAGTGATGGTGTTTTCACGGGGAGTTGAATCTAGCATCCACCCTCTCTAAACACTTGACAGTTATCCAACAGACAACCAAATCACTAGAGATTCTAGGTTCATCAAGCTGACAAGTCCTGAATAGGGAAGAAATGTGCATTTTTGATTCCATCACTAGTTATCATTCACCGAATAACATCCGTGATAATCCTCAGATATCGGTAGAGTCTTGTTCATAGAAGACTGTGGGTTAACAGAGGCCGAACATCTCAGTCCAGTCAATCAATCAATCAAAATGGAAACACAAAGTTAACTTAAACAAATTAAATACTGACTTACATTTACTGACAGATGAGTTGAAATAAAATATCTTGACAGAAAAGCAGTAGTGAGTTCTGCAGGATCATGAAAGCTAAACGATTGTGCAACTGTACGCTGATTACCATTTGCATCCTAAAATAGGGAGAGTAAACAAAATATATTTATACAACTGCCAACAATTATTAAGTGAAGAATTTAAACGTTAATAGCAATTAAATTGAAAGTAGATCGGTCGTTTCTCACGTTTTACAGTGAGCTGATCAACAATGTAGCCAGTTAGATTCAGTTCACAGAAGGAAGCAACCACACGAATCCCTGCAAGTCACTTAAGTAATACATGGAGAATCACATTCATCGTTTACACATTACACAGTTTGAAATGAAAATTTGTCGCAGTTTTTTAAAATATTATATACCATAGAATGTAATCTCCTGCAATCTCACAAACTATCTTGATTTCTATTTAAGGTATCCCCTAAATAGCACTTTCGTAAATCTAAACACATTGAAATTTTACAAAAAACTTTGATGAATTTTCACGTTGAGCCGTGAAATTGGGAAAATGATTTATTCGATTCTAAATCTTTAATATTCCCACAGTAAAATTTAGAACAACACATTTCGGCGAACAATATTGTGTTTTCAATTAGATCTCATCAGGCTTAACTCTAATATACATAAAACTACAAATAAAAATTGAAGTATAAACCAGTCACGGTCAATAGGATAAAAAGATGATGAATATAAGTTGTGCAATTAGTCATAATAGCAATAATAATGATGATAATTAATAACGGTTCAATCAATAATAAGGATGTAGAAGGGAGGCGATCTGTGATAACAAGAGTAACGAAAAACAGCATGATTAAACAAACAAAAATCGATAAAGGCTAAGAAAAACAAATGAACTGATTGCGTAATGATAGATTGTAAGGAAAGTAGAAAAACTTTGTTTTAATGAAGATGTGGTAAGATTAAGGGATGATAAGAAAGGAGTTAAAAATATAATTAAGGGATGGTTATAAGTCATCAGTTGGTTAGATCTTTTAATAGGCCAAGGGAGGGATAATTGCTGTACGGACTTCTTTTGAATGCATAGTTTATGCCTAATGGTTCGAATGCCTATCGCCTCGACTGTGTGAAGTAGACGAATACGAAGTCTATTGGAAAGATTCAATGAGATGCGACGAATTACCTTGAAAGCCTTCGAATAAGGCATTTAGAAGACAAATCTCACGAGATGATGGCATCGTTTTGTAGTTTCTTTACACAATCGCTTTACAACTAACATGATTTACTATAATAAAATAAAATGTATGACAGTTACCCAGTTATGTGAAAACAAAAGTATATTCTAATGACCAATCACACAAAAATAGGTTAAAATATGATTTAAATATGATCGGTCATAAGTATATACTTTTGTTTTTATATAACTGAGTAACTGTCATACATTTTATTTTATTATAGTGAACCATGTTAGTTGTAAAGCGATTGTGTAAAGAAACTACGAAATGATATCATCTCGCGAAATTTGTCTTCTGAATGCTTTATTAAAATTTATCAAAGGGACCAATTGTTTCAATTGAACGCTTTCGTTTACTCCACTAAATGATCACTATCAACTAAATGTGATAAAACGGAGCCGTAGATTGTTTTTGTCTGTCCTTCGCCAAACCACCACAATGGGAGATGTTCAGTAACACATTGGTTAAGCTGTCTAGTAGTACTTAATCGGTCCACCCTATTAAGAAAACACCGTGATTGGCTTGTAGATTGAAGCCTTATGTTCCACTAGGAACGTGAAGGAATTTAAAAAAAACTATGTATGTTGAAGTTAAGCCTGATGAGATCTAATTGAAAACAACATTGTTCGCTTAAATGTTTTTTTCTATATTTGATTCTAACAATTTGAAATAATTATTAGAGGTGCTGAAGTATGAATTCTAAAAGGCTGATTAGTGAACAAAGAAAATTCTTTTCAATAAGTTCTTCATCAGGTTCTACAGTTATGTATCCATAATAGTTTGTTTTTTAAAAGTTATTGTTGATAACATCATTTAATGTTTAAGTATCATAGAATTATTAAGATCAATTGATCACGGTTCAAATGTATGTGATGAAGGTGACGATACGCATCAATATAACACTACAATCAATATCACATAAATTATGAAAAATAAGATACCACACAACAGGGCGGAGTAATAATAGTGATTGGACCTCCGGGTGCCATGGCTCCTGGCTGTTTAGAGTGTTGTTTCTGAATCTAGACGCCTTCGACAACTTATTTAAGTACCCGATAAACGATGCAAAAAGATTCTTCAGTTGTGCTGATTTTATGGCCTAGGGATCTAATACCAAAAGGTTGATGGTTATTACTACATCCTTACTTAGCTACACACCGACAGGTATTGCCAATCATGAAATGCTAAATTATGCAGGCCTTTGCTCTAGAAGTTGATATACGAATATAAATTGGGGCATTGTGGTAGATTAAAATTCTACTATGGAGGAAATTTATTTTCATAAGGACTCACAGAGTCATGAGAATAGAACTTGTTCACTCACTAGCAGAGGGAATAAAATTCACATTTGAATCAGAAAATGTACAAAGAGAATTGGCCATGTCAGATTGTAAAATAAAAACGAAAAGAAGAAAGTGAACTGCACACTAGCGTTCATAAAAAGCCATTACACTCTAAATAGATATTTAAACTTTAATTCATCTCATCCGTTGTCTGTAGAAGCTGGCTTAGTTGAGTGTCTAACAAACCGAGCAGTAGCACCAATTAGTACAACAAAAAACCTAAACCATGAAATGAAGCACATAGAAGAGTAGCTGGTTGGTGTTGAATAACTATCCTATAGAATTCATTAAGAAGATCAGGAAAGGTCAAAAGCAAAATAAAAATAATAGTGGAACCAATAATGATAGTACACAACAATTCACCAATCAAGTGGCGATATGTTTGTTAACAATAATTAGTCAGTGTCAAAATGTCAATGGGGTGATAATTAAAGAAGAAAATTAATATACACAATTAAAAGGTGGAAATGGTTACAACAAGAGCACGGTAATGATAACATAAACGACAAAGAATATAAGTCATCTGCAGTAGTTTTACCATACAAGTAGTAGACATCTGAGAGCCTATGCAGGATTCTTAATAAAGCAGGAATCAGGGTGGCATTTAAACCGACAGACTTACTCAAAGATAAGTTCTGTAGGTTAAAAGACCAAACAGTACTGAAATACTAGATTTGGATGAAATCTGCAAACGTGATTTATGTACTGCAGAGATCATTCCGCTTATTTACTATGGGCTCATCTGATCAATTGGGTTGCTCCAGTTTAGAGTTACCCTGAAATTGTATGTACATCATCATTAAACCGATTAATCAAATAGTTGTATGAAGTGAAAGTTATCTAGGACCCAACAACAGGAATAAGCTGAACGACCGATAAGAAGACTCTAGAAGATCTGGATATCGCGTTTGGATGATTTATGTCTAGTATCACACAAACTCGAATACTTACAGTTAGGCGAAAACCAACAAACTGGCTGAAGAGACTGGCAGGCAGCGGAGACAGGACTCCAGGTGAACATAGAGAATACGGGGAAGGAGGTGATGAAGATAACCAATCAACAGCAACAGCAATCAGCACCAATCACCATCAACTGGAGAGATTAAATAGAGGTTGCCTCCTTCACTTATCTGGGAAGCATAGTTTCAACTACAGGCGGACAGCACGGATGAAGATGTCAAAGTCAGAATCGGAAAGGCGAGATACGCCTTCGTCAACCTGAAACCAATTTAGAAATTTTCCGCACTCAACATAACGAACAAGATTCGCATTTTCAACACCAATGTGTAGTCGGTTCTTCTATACGGGTCTGAAAGTTGGCCAGTGTGTCACGAAAAGGATTTCCAACAAGTTACAGACTTTCATCAACAACTACCTGCCTTCGCTGGCTCCCTACTGAAGATCAAATTGTCAGAAAGAATAAGCAACAGGAAGCTATGGGAACAAACCAACAAATATGTAGGAGAAAGAAGAGTTGTATTGGGCATACATTGAGGAGGCCGCCGAATGACATCGCACGCCAGGCACACCCTCGAATAGAATCCAAATGGGAGGTGACAAGTGGGTTGTCAGTGGTAGAGTGACATGGCAGAGATAGTGTGAAAAAGAGATGAGAGAGTTTGGTCAATCGTGCACCTAACTGAAGAGGACGGCAGAAAACAGAACAAAGTGGAGATGTGTTGCTGAAGACCTATGTTCCACTCGGAACCCAAGGGAATAATAATAAACAGCAAATATACTTAACTATAATGTGGTGTAAGCACTAGGTATTTATAAACTTAATTAAGTCTTATTGCAAAATTACACGTCTGACAAACAAATCAGCCACTTGATTATCCTGGGGACAACCAATTTATTTGCTATAAAGCGTTTCTTTTAGGAGTATGGCACAGGAAAAATTACAACATCAGTGATTTCTCTCTGGCTGTCCGTATCGAATAAGTGTACACGTCTCAAACTCGTAAGACAGTACAAGCTCTTTGGAATTCATGCATTTTGTTTCGATTAAAAGATGCTCTAAAATAACATACTACCGATCGGTTTCCCAAACACCAGAATCATTGAAACCAATGTTATCTCACACACTTAAAACACACACACACACCTTTGATACAAATAACTCCTTTTTAAAAAGCATTTACCCACTTTAGCTGTGACTTCGATCAAATGCAATGGATGTGAATTATATGACCACTGTGAAGGATTCCATGGAAGAATATATAACGGCTGTTGTACACTGTCATTGACAGCCGCCAGGTGAGCGTATCCTTGATGAACACCATCTATTGCTACAGAAACTGAAAGTATAGGCCATTTTGACCAAACTAATATCCTAAGTGGAAATATGATACAAAAAGATACACTGTCAATAATTTATCAAAGGGAAGCAATTCGAAAGAGATGGCAATAATTGATAAAGAAAACAATAAGTATTCTTGGTCTGTTCGAGACACAAAAAAGAGTATTCATTTGACGTATTCATTGATAACAGTAAAACGGAGTCAGATCTGGCTTAATTAATAGCGTGCAATTTCAACTGAGAAGCAACACAATACAGGAGTGGGGTAAATGCATTCTGAAAGCAGACAGATATTCTTCTGAGACATTATTATCCAGAAAAACGAGAACCACTCTACATGTCAAATATTTTAGCCTAATTACTTATTGACTTATTAGTTGGAATGCATGAACCATTAGATTTGGTCCCAGTGGCTGAATAGTCTACGAACTCGCGATTGCAAACTGGAGCTTTTGGATTCGACTCCTCGCGAGTGCGTACTCATGAAGAGTACAGTGTCCCCTGGTTTCCCAATGGTTCTCCAACTTATATCAGCTAATAATCAGTCCGAAAAAAATTCATCGATTACTAGTTCAGTTATCACATTGAAAGGTGTAGCCTTCCACTTAGATCGAAGTAATCAAAACACTACACCGGATGACCGTTTCATTCGTTAGAGATCAAGTTCATCAGCGGTGTACTCAGCTTTCAAACCAGTACAGGGAACCGTATCAATTAGTTAATGGTAAATTTTCCATTACTCGGTATATAACATGATAACTAAGAAAATGCTTATTTATGTGAGAAAAATGCTGAACAGACTTTGACTCAACACGTGAACACGTCTAAACAATATTTAGATTTTGTAGTATGAAAAAGGTTTAGCCATTAATTAAAATGACCTACACTGATATTACCATTTCAAATAGTTTACGCTCCAAATGGAACATAGGGCTTAAAGTTTTTAAAGTTACAGCAGCAATGGAATTGTCTTTATTATTACTATTCCGTTGGGTTCCGAATGGAACATAGCACTTCAAAAGTACATCTCAATTTTGTCTTGTTCTCCCCAGTCCAATTCAACTAGCCTCACGACTGCTCATAGACTCCATCTTCTCCTCACACGATCTTTTCAATGTCACCACCCGATCTCTGGCCCACTCATCATTTCCTATTCGGCTTCGAAACAAGAGCTGGCCTGGTACGCAACGTCACTCGACGGTCTCTTCGACGTATATCCCAATCAATGCATCCCCATTTTCTTCTGAATATTTGTTGAGCGATAGGTTCTTAAACGATTTGTTCATCACCAGAGTTTATTGTTGCGAATTCATTCTGCCCGGCCACTCTATCTTCGATATGAAGCCAGGGAAGAGGGCAGCTGTTTATAAAAGTCTGCATTAGCCTGTCGGAATTGCTTTTCATGACGCCCAATGCAAGTTCATGACCCATAGAGAACAACTGACATAGCATTTGTACTGAAAATCCAGGTTTCTTTCTTTATGCTGAGTGAGTACGGAAGATTTCCAAACAGAATTCAGAATGACAAAAGTTGAAATGATACTTCCTAGACAAGTGAAGGAGGCAACGACTTTCAAATTTCTCGTGTTGATAGTGATTGGTACTGTTTATTGTCGCTGTTGACTGGTTGGTTATCTTCATCACCTCCGTCCACGTCTGCTCTATGTCTACCTGGAGTCCTGTCTTCGCTGCCTGCCAGTCTCTTCAGACAGTTTGTTGGTTTTCGCCTGACTGTAAGTCTTCGAGTTTGTGTGACATTAGACACAAATCATCCACTCGCGAAATCCAGATCTTCTGGAGTCTTTTTATCGGTGATCCAGTGTATTCCTGTCTCCTCGCTCCCTGTGCACAGTCTCACGCATAAGCTTTATTTTCTTCACCGTGTGGGATTCTTAGCCTTACGCACAGGGTTTATTACCCACCAATAAACTAGGCATAACTTAACAGGGCGTGTTGATGGAGAACTGAACCCATACTTTTTATAATCTCAGCGATAGAACTAACTAACTACACCAACGACATCTCAAACAACAAAAGAAAGTCTTTAGTATTATTACCTGTATGCAGAGATTGTTATTAAATAACTTGGAAACAAAGAAATATAGAAACTTAACACCTACTACCCTACTAACTAACCAACTTAAAAACATTCCAAACCACGTACGATAATCACATCAGTATACACTGGATACATATTTCAACAAGATAAGTGTCAGATATATAGTTAATCATTACAGTTAACTAATTTTCTGTAACACAGAACTTTTCAGTTTATTTTTTACAACAAAGTTTATTGTGTTAAGTAAAGTGTAGCAAAAATATCATATTTTATTAATGTGTTATCTAAACAAGTTTGAGATAGACAAGTTTAATATTTCTGATAGATTAGAAGAAGAGTACAGGTTGATTAAAAGATACCCGAAAGCGGAATCTTTATATTACATAAAATCACTGACCAGTCATATCATTTATATTAAGCAAGCGAGTTAGCAAACATTCTTTTTAATTCAAAGATCATTTTCACATATAAAACATCTAACTAGAACAATGTGTATTGACCATATATTCACCCTTCAACAGATTCTGGAACATAGGCATGCTTAGCGGCGTCCAACAATCGTTATATTTCTTGACCTGGAAGCGGCATTCAATTCCTTCGACCAAGAGGTACTTTGGCAATGTTTGGCTATGAAGGAAATGCCGAGAAAATACATCGCACTGATCAAGACACTCTACTCGAACTCACGCAGCCAGGTAAGAGCTTACGGAGAGCTGTCATCTGAGGTGGTGACGACTAGCGGTGTCCGTCAGAGATTCCAGCCCACTATCCCCATTTCCATTCAATTTCATCATAGATGTACCAATGGAATTAACCCTAACTCACTTCAGAGACTCAGAGATTGACTTGTTATCAGGGTATAATCTCGTTGACTCAGAATATGCAGATGATATAGTCCTTCTAGATGGGGATGCTGACAATGCAGAGTCTTCTGAACATCTTGAGCTGCAATCTGCGGATGTTTGGCATGCGATTCGCTTCCTCGTCAAATGTACCATGATGCAACAGGACTCGGCTAAGCTACATCGACTCATTTATCGCTTAAAGGTAAGCAGGAGTGAAGTGGTGGCTGGAGTTGTTGACCACTTCACTTATTTGGGAAGTTGCTTCAGCCAAAGACAGCGGCTTCATCGCTGACGAAATCTCAGCACGCATACAGAAGGCTCGTTTCACATTTGCCAGCCAGCTTACTCGATCCCTGGTTTAGTATCCGACTGTCGCTCAAAGGAGGTGTATACTGCTAGGCAGCTCGCTCTGTCCTCCTTTATGGCTCTGAGCGAGAAATGGCCATCGTAAGTGGAAGATATGAAAAGCCTGGCTAGCTGTCTTTCATCATAGGTGCTCGCCTTCTATTTTCCATTTGTGTTAAGTGGTATAGCAGTGTGAATAATATTGAGGTTAGGCGTTGAGTGCTAGGTAAGGAGGGGAAATCTATCGACGAGGTTGCGAAGCAGCTGCATCGATTGAGATGGTTAGGACATGTGTTACGCATGCATGCTTAGCCATCACCTTCCTTAGCTGATAAAGGATGGATCAGGTTGGAAGAGCGCTAGCGGTGGTGGTCGAACGGAAACATGGTATCAGTCCATGAAGTTGTTGACGGTCAGTTCGAGCCAGCCATGTGGAGTGGTGTAGACGGGCTTCTTGGTTCGGGTCTTCGGGACTCCAAGAACCAATGAAAGTCGGAGACAATCGGTGATATGGCTCAAAACCGTTTTCAGTGACTGGCGCAGATGTATTCACTCTTTGTGATTGATCATATCCGACAAAAATGTACTGTTCTTCTATATTACTGTTCCTATTCCCTCACACTTCCGTTTGTCTCTCTTTACTGTTCTCTTGCTTTGTATGCTACATGGAGTGTGGCGCTTCGAAGTGCTGTACATCTACGCAAAGTCCTACGTAGAAACCAGTCAATCATACCAATTATCTTGAAGGGAAACACAAACTTGCATTGTCTATATCCAATGTTATCTATAATAACACCGTCGTAAATAAAGAATAAGACGCATACATTTTGTGCTTGTGATTAGATATGTTGACCGGGACATATTTCTAATGTACCAGGCTATTCGTCTAAAATTACTGTAACCTCGCCTAGTTTAGTAGGTCGTTGGCGACCCTATTTTAGAAAAGCATTTAAAATGCTACAGAAACTTCAACGCGCAGGCAAATTTATAAAAATATGAAAAGAAGGAAGATTTCAACGGCAAACAGTAATGGACAAAATCCCAAATGAAGACATCAACATCCTTATGAGGGATACGAATGCTAAACTGGGAGCAGACAGCACAGGAAGAGAACCCATCATGGGGATCAAGAGGCTCTCGGAGAAATGAATGGTAACGGGAAACCTTCCTCAGACCTCTGTGCTTTCAATGATTTGGAGAAAGGAAGCAGAATGTACAAGCACAAGGATATATACAAGGCAACATGGATTTCGTCTGATGGACACGCCACAAACCAGAGAGACTTCATCTCAATACTGCTCATGAAAGTGCAAATGCAGCCTACTGGACACAAAATCGAGAAGCGAAGCAGATGTGGGCTCAGGCCATCATCTAGTTCAAGGAACCTTCAAAGTCAAGTCGAAAGCCTTCAGAACAACTAGAGACAGACCACAATACAAGCTCAACATTTAGAAACTGAAGGACAATACTACAAGGGATACCTTCACTGTACCTATCACAGCAGATTCAGATACACTACGTGGCATCACTGAGGAAACCTGTGTGGAAGAACATTGGAACTCTTTGAAGGTGATGTTCAAGGGAGTCTGTACAACTGTTCTAGGAAGAAGGAAGGGACAAGACAAGGAATGACTGACTCTTTACGATCACTTGGAAGCTGATTGAGGAGATGAGAGTGGTGAAAGAGATGACTCAATGCAAAGACGGACAAGAGAAAGAGAGGCTGAGTTCAATGTATATCTCACAGAATAAAGAAGTGAAGAAGAGTGCTAGGAAAGACAGAAGAAAATTCTACGGCACACTGACAAATGAAGCAGAACAGGCCACAGGTAAAAGAGGCATCAGAATATTATATCAGATAACCAGGTCTCTATCCGGGAAGAGATCAAACCAGACGATGAAACCAATAAAAGATATTCGAGGGAAACTGATTACCAAAGAGCGGAAACAAATAAAACACCTGACTGATCATTTTTAATGACTCTTGAATCGACCAGGAATACTACCATCACCATCAACAGAACGCAAAGAACTGCCGAACAGTGGACACCAATCCTCTAACGAAAGCAGAAATCTTGAAAGCGATCAAGTTACTGAAACTCAGCCGAAAAGGCAACAGGACCACTCAAAATTCTCATCGAAGCACTGAAAACGGACCCAGAAACTGTGGCAGATGTGCTAGCGCCATTAATGAAAAGGGTTTGGAAGGAAAGAAAGGTAAATACCGACTGGAACGAAGGGCGACTTAGATGTTTGCAAGAACTGGTGTGCAATAATGCTCTTGTCCACGCCAAGTAAAATATTAAGTCGCACCATGCTGGGGAGAATAAAATATGTTCTGGATGCGCAACTTCGACTGGAACCAGCTGAATTCGGGGAAGGCAAATCACGCGCTGATAAGACTGCAACTCTACGCAGAATCGTCGAACAAAGCCCAGAATGGTAGTCAAGTCTTACCCTACCTCAACTTCATCGGCTTAAAAAGGAGCTCGACAGCGATGACTGCGAAATAATTTGGGAACTACTTCAAAACTATGGCGTGCGGAGCACAAATATTTATAAACCTCATTCAACAGCTATATGGCAATGGTACGTGTCAGGTGATCCACAACGGAAAACTCAGAGAGGCGCCTGAAGTGCATACAAGAGTAAGACAAAGCTGGCTGCCTATTACCACTGATGGTATTCTTAATTGTAGTGGAGCGGATTATGAGGAAGACTGTGCACAAGGAAGCGAGGAGACAGAAATACACTGGATCACCGATAAGTAGACTCTAGAATATCTGGATTTCGCTCATGGATGATTTATGTCCAGTGTCACACAAACTCAGACGAAAGCCAACAAACTGTCTGAAGAGGCTGGCACGCAACGAAGGCAGGACTCCAGGTGAACACAGAGAAGACGGAGACGGCGGTGATGAAGATAACCAACCAGTCAACAACGGCAATAAACAGTATCAATCACTATCAACACGAGAAATTTGAAAGTGGTTGCCTCTTTCACTTGTCCTTCACTTATGCAGACTTTTGTCAACAGCTGCCTTTTTCCCTGGCTTCATAGTGAAGATCAAATGGTCAACCAGCCAGAATGAATTCGCAACAATAAACTCTGGCGATGAACAAATCAATCAAGAACCTATTGCTCAACAAGTATTCTGAAGAAAATGGAGATGGATTGATTGGGCACACGTTGCAGAGACCGTCGAATAACTTTGCGCACCAGGCGAGGCGTCGATTGGAACCTGAATAGGAAATGACGAGTAGCTGGGAGATCAGGTGGTGACATGGAGGAGCTCGTGTGAGGAGAAGACTGGAGTCTATGAGTAGTCGTGAGGCCAGATGATGTGGACTGCAGAGAACAGGACAAAATGGATATGTACTATTGAAGCGCCATGTTCCATTCGGAACCCAAGGGAATAATGATGATAATAATAATATTTACTTGCCTTATGTATTTAGACGAAAAAATTCTATCGACAGGCTCTTTGGTAAGCAGTAGAAATTGGGCATCTTTAGGATTTGTAATTAATATAATTGGCCATTCTGTTGCTTTACTATTTGATGGTGATTTAATGACATCAACAAATGACACGAGATCATTGTCTATGGCTACAATGCGAAAACTGAAAAGTCAAAAGCAAAAAAAGGCAAAAAATATGTATGGTTCCTTAAAGATTGTTATGTAAGAAATTGTGTGTATACGTTTGTGGGACAGCAATAGTTTCTAAAAACATTTAAATCACATGCCATCAGGTAGTTAATAATAAGTAGTTAAATGTACTATAAGTGAGTCAGTGGCACAGCTGTAGAATGTTTAACGACTACGCAGGTGGTCTGGGGTTCGATCACCGGCAACAGACTCACTCCTTTACCTCGCTAAGCCAAAAGTACGACTGGTAAAGAGAAGAGGTTGGGTATGAGGCTAGCAACTCCATTCTGTAAAAATAATCACCACTGCTACAGAAACTTCAAGCCTCTAGCTTGAAACCCTATGTTCCACTGGGAACGTAAAGGGATAAAGAAAGTGTTTATGAATATCCTGACCGCGTAAGGGTTCTTCAGTCTTTTGGAGATGGACATGTGCACTGCTGATGAGTGGGAAACAAGGATGAAAGGGAAAACATGACAGTCTACTTTTTCTTTGACCAGATTCTTTTTAAAGGACTTGTACCTTAGTACAGTTTCCAATTCGTTTAGCAAAAAATATATCCCAATGCACATAGTAGGTTTTTAACACACATAAAAATCAACAAAACTACTACTGAATACAATAGAAAAACGGGATATTTTACACCTAATTAGTATGATCGATTTCGTTGAATAAAACAGTGAAACAAAAGATTTGAAGGCAGGATTTTTTCACATTCCCTACATTCTGTGTGGAGCATAGGGTTCCGAAGTTTTTCAAGGTTACAGTAATCACAGAGTCACGCTTATTCTTCTCCACCTTTTGCGGATCCATTATCAGCTAGTAGTCTGGATGATATTTAGGAGTGTGTCAGCCAGAAGACGAACCCGTACATCCTCCATGACTGGTGAGCATTCTACCATTGATTCACTAACGTGGAAAGACACAACACAGAGTCGCATTATTTCGCAGTATTTCTCTAGCTATATAGCAGCCGAAATACAAGCAACTGTTTGTAGCTTCTGTTGTTTGGGAGTACTCAGCATCTAGAGACCTTTGGTACTCGACAGATGACAGAAAAAGATTCCCGAATCCTGGTTTTGTGGAGTGTTTGAACCACGTGTTCTGATATCAAATTTTCAAAAGAATGGATACTGAACAAAGAGTACTCATTTCGATAACTTCATCATCAGGCTCCACAGTTATACATTATATTGAATGAATGAACAACATTAATGTTGTTTAAATAACATCGAATCAATAATAATATTACTAGATTATAGCTCAATAACATCAACACTGAATTAAGCTGAATGTCAGAAAAATTAGGAAAGATAATATTACACATTCATGAATTTATAGTCTTTACTGAAAACCGGCCAGGGCAGTAGTAGTGGTTGGCTGAACTTGCTTCTTTCGCACACAGAGCACTGGTTGTTTGAGGCGAATTGCAATAACCTGTGCTGTTTGGAGCATGCGGTGCTTCGATGATTTTGGCAATTTATTAGGCACCCGGTAGATGATAGAGAACGATTCTTCCACGCTGGCTGGCTGGCTTTGTGGCTGGTTTGCACCAGATGGTCCAATACCGAACTGTTAATGGTTTTCACTACACATTTACTTACCTATAGTGAGATATGTTCTCGAGTGAGGACGAAAAATTAAGTTCCTAGAGTAACGGCCTATATAACTCGCTCCACAAGCGGAGTTGAATTGGTAGATACAGTTGGAAGTGTCTAGTCTAGGTACTTCGTCTTTCAGTCGATGTAGTACCGTTATCAAATTGTTGGTCACACTAGTGGGTTTTGCCAAGCACAAAACTATTTGTGAATATTATAACTCTAGAACATGATGAAAAAGTTAGTTATCGAAAAGAATATTCTTTGTTCATAAATCAATCATTCACATGACAACCTGTTATGGGAGGAATATGAGAACAACACGACATGTACTGGACTATTCAACTGCTTAGTGGGTATTGATTAGTACAGTCACAGCGAACTAGATAATGGAAGGCTATTTCAACTGTTTACAATCAAGCTAACTCGAATTAAATTAAATTTAGATAATCAAATTGTTTTAAGCATTTGATTTATATTAATAATTGATATAGAAAGGTAAGCAAATGAAGAAAACACAACAACAGAATGAGTCAGTCAATAGTAAATAAACCTGTATACACCTCACAGGAGAGAAGAAAACAGTGAATAGTGAATCGAACTCACTAACGATTTGATCGCCAATCACCCAATTCCCATTCCCAATAACCTTGAGGTTGTAAAACATACATTCTTTTTGTCATACCAAATAGCGTATGCAAATGACCACATAGATAAGCATATGCATTTGCCCTAAAAGAAATAAATAAAAATAAAAGTATGAATAATTACAACAACAACATTATCGCATAAATCTAATTAAGAATGCATCAAGGGACATTTTTCAACTAATTATTTCTAGCGGCTTTCACTCAAGCAGCCGAGAGGTTCAACTGTCTGTCCAGGAGCGCTTTGTGAATCGGTATTTCAGCCAACAGAACACCTGGCAACTTCGCACACGGACCATGGTTCGATCCTCGACCAACGCCTTTCTAAACTTTGCCCAGCCCGTGGTAAGGCCTATAAAGAGAGAACGTTGGGCGTGAAACTAGGAACCCCAACCGCGTAAAATAAACTATTGCTGCCGAAACTTCACAGCTCTAACTTGAAGCCCCATGTTCAACTCGGAAAGTAAAGGAATAAAATAAAACAAATTAAAAAAAACACGGACATTCTTAAACCAGTTATTTCTAGGATTTTCAGCTGATTGAGTTGGTAGGATCGAAATGATTGCTCGTAGTAAGGATGCTTCATGGCACTGTGGATAATACTTTGGAGTTTGAAGCCACTTGTGCAGATTGTAAGTTTTATCGGGAACACCATTATTCGGTGAGGATGCAAGTACATCCAGTTGATGAGTTCTAAATAGGACGAAATGCACACCCTAGAGATCCCATTGCTAGTCACCCATCACCACGTTGATTTTTAAATTAATCCCGTGAAGATAACAAATAACTAGGAGATTCATAATACATTTCACGATGCATTCAGATGACCATTCAAAGCAGTTGACTTAATTGTGACTTTCTCATTAATTATAAAATATATATCATGAAAAAATTTTATCATATAAGAATGCTTCCAAAATCTGGAAACTTTCTAACCAACTTACAAGCAAAACACCAATTCCTATTGATGCTTATTCTGGTATAAACGCCTTCAATCGGTCTTTTCTAAGGCGACAAGCTGATATGGCTGTACCTAATGTTTCTAGGCACTTCACTTCCCAGGTTTTATGGAAGAGAATGCTACTAGCATGTCTTATATCCTTACATGCATCATACAACCTAGGTCCCGATGGTGTGCTTATCACCGTACTTTAAAAAAAAGGGTTGATATTTTCTGTCTTACACAAATCTTTAATGTACCATTTTATAGAGATACAGTACCTGTTGTGCTTGCAAAGAAATAAAGGTTGAGGCTGGACATGGTTTAAAGTTTAGGAAGATCGCCATTACATCTTTATTTCTGAAAACTATGGAGAGACCTCTCCTGCTCGTTCTTAAGCCTTCGTTAAAATTTTTCAGTGACCCAAAGAAATTTGCTTATAAATCCAGTTGAGGAACGTTAGATGCTGCCATTGTACTCCACTACTGCATTGTTTCGAGTCTAGATGATAAAGGTGTAAAGTTTGTTCAAGCCTCCTTTTTAAGTCTGCACTGCTGCTTTTGACTCTATTCCTAGAGAACTTTTATCAAACAAGCTGATTTCAGCACACGCACTGAGTTCTAGGTCACAGGGTGGCTGTCTTCATATTTTTTCTGGTAGAAAACAATATACTGTTTTAAATGGAAAGCTCTCAATTTCTTTGTTTACGAAAGCTGGTGTTCTGCAAGGTGCTGTAGCTTTTCCATTTTTTGTCTCTTTCTTTTTGTGTGACTTGCCATATTCTTCTTAAGCTGATTTTAATTAAATATCCTGATAATCTAACAATTTCTCTTGCAACAGTTTCTGCATTGGATTGTTCTGATTTTATGAATAGACTTTTATCTGAGGTTAGCCAATCGTTTCACTGCAATGTTGTTAAGCTAATTCTATGCAAATATCTTGTTATTGATTTTAGCTTCAGAGGTGTGTGACTGATTCATTCCCATGATTTTTGTAATATCAATGGCTACGTAATAGGGGGTAAATCGAATATCACCGATCTTGGCATCGGTTCCTCTTCAAAATTCTGTTGTTTGTCCCGAATATTGTTGATTCCTAGGAAAGTCTTTCGTTTGACATATTACATAAAGACATTGGGACTTTCTGCTTGGATAGCTCAACTTCTTTTCCTAGAATTTATTAATTCGTTTATTCTGACCATCATTCTTTAATGCTCCCCCTTATTCTTCCCTAGGCTTCTCAAAAATGACTATGTCGTATTACGCAGAACACTGAAGACTGTGAGTCTGTCTGTCTGCTTTCGACATAGAACTTTGCACCCATGTGCACCAGTTCAAGTCGCCACACTCCCTCCTTGTGCACACAAAGCAACAGAAGAAAGTAGAAGAAATGTATAACAGAAACAGTAAACAGAGGTGTGAGAAAAAGGAATAGTAATAACGACGAACAATATAGTTTCAGTGGAAGTCATAAGTCACAAGGAGTGGATGCATCTGCGCCATACATTCAGAACAATTTCAAGCCATATCACCAATTGTTTCCAACCATTAGTTATTACCGCCCCGAGGGCCCCAACCAGAAAGCCAGTCTACAACTCCCTACGTGGCCAACTTAAACTAACTGTTGTGGATTTCATTGACTGGTGAGGCCATGTTTTGGTTTGACCACCGCTAGCTCTTTTCCAGCCTGACCCTATGTCAGCAGCTAACATTGCCCACCGTCGATGAAGGCGATGACTAGGCATAAGTAACACATATCCTAAACATCTCAGTCGATTAAGCTTCACAACCTCGTCGATTGATTTCCCCTCATGCTTACCTAACACTCGACCGATGCCTAACCTCAATATTGCTCACCTTGTTATACCACTTAACACACACGGGAGATAGAACGCAGGCACCTATGATCAAAGAAATGTCATGTCTTTTTTCATGTCTTCTACTCTCAATGGCCAGGTTTCACAGTCATAAAGGAGGACGAAGCGGACTGATGAGCAGTACACCCGCCCTTTTGTCGACAGCCAGTCGGATATCACGTCTACTCCAGAGACGACATAAACTGGCATATGCGAAGCTAGCCCTCTGTTTTGTAAGGCGGCCTGCTTAAATCATTGGGCTACCGAAATTAATTTCCTCCAAAATGCTTAATTTCATCTGGATTTATCATTGTTTTAATCGTTCAGTTATATCAAATGACCTACACATAAACTTGCGCGATGATTTAACTTGCTCCCGAGAAAACGCTGTACAATTCTTCAACAAAATGAAGATATACCTCAGATTATTAATTTACATCTGAATCCTGTGTGAACAAAAAAGTACTTTGTAACTGAATAGGCTGAAAATTTTTGTACCGTATATTCGCATACTGTCTTAAATAAAGCTTTACCATTATTATTATTATTATTATTATTATTATTATTATTATTATTATTATTATTATGTATCTGTGCTATGATTTCGTCAGACAAGACTGTGAGTAAGGTTAGTGATGTGCCCTTCATTCAACTAAATGATATCGGTGTTGATAGGCATTTCAATTCTTGCAAGCAGCTAGCTAAATTTATCTTGTCTGATACCGAACATCCTCTCTATGCAAAACTTTTTCCCTGTATTCCTTCGGGTAAAACCAGAAGAGATTTCATTAGAATTTATGCTCATTTGCAAGCATGTTAAAAATTGTTCTGTACATAGACTTAATAGTAATTTATTTAGGCTGTAAGCCAACGAAATAATTGATGGTACCATCTGATTCTGCACACACCACTGTTGTTCTTCGTCTATTCAAGTTTCTACTAATGAAACATTAGTTACGAAACATTCTATATATATATATTTTAAGAAATTATATCCGGTGAGGGAAGTGAATCGCAAGATCTCACAGTCCCTGAAAATGGCATTCCCTGCGGCATTGTTGGGAATAGCGTTTTCCAGTCGACTATTACTGTTCAATAACCTGAAGGACAAAATCCAGCAGTTGACCAACTCTGCGTGTGTGTGTTTATCAATTCACCTGCTCGTGTGGAGCTAGGTATATCGGTCGTTCAACTCACGTTTTCTCTAAGAGGGTACAAGAACACTATCCTGTAGGGTCACGAAAAGTTGGAAGTTGGACACTAAGAGGCGCGATCATTGAACATCTGCCCGATAATGATCACCCTAACTGTTTGGCCTCCGCCTTTAAAGTCACATACAAGACGAAAAGTAATTTGGCCATCGAAATAGAAAGGCCATATCTCTGTATACAGAAAAGTTCGTTCAAACTCTTCAACTTTCATCGTTTTAATTCTTCTCCGATAAAGTATGGTAATCCCTAATCATATTTTGGCTCTATTTTTCGTTTTGTTCGTTCAATTTGTATACTCTTCCTTGATTACGCCAAATGTCACTATTACTATTCTCACTTTGAACTGTCCACTTGTCATTCTAAATCAATTCTTTGTTTGCATCGTTAAATTCTATGTTATCAAACTTCACACAATGTTACGTAACGCTTTTATTTTCATTATATTTACCTACAAATCCCAAAATCGCACACCTTTTTCCAAGTTCTACATATGGCATTAATTGTTTTGCCACTTGACATTTAACCATGATTATAATCACAAATATCTTAATTGTATTTCATACTACTATGATTATTCTATGTATTCACACCTATGATTCAATTCCTTCATCAGACAAAATTTCTTAAAAACACCATATATATATATATATATATATATATATATATATATATATATATTCATGAAAATAATGGATTAAAAAGCATGAAGGATACCATTCTCTGACGTGGGACAAAGAAACCTTTCAGTTTTGGATTGGATTATCGACAGAGTAACTTAACCACATTATGTGCATGTAATTATCTAGGTCTTCTAACCTTGACAATAACCCTAAATTTTTCTTAACTTAACCCTAAAGTGAAAATATCCCTGAACTAACTTTAATCTAACTCGAGTTAACCCTAATGTCCCCTTGATTAGGCTAACTTAACCCTAACTTGTCCTCAGCCTAAATCTTAACTTAATCTTTCCCAAACCTAACCTGAAACTAACCAGTCATCTCATTTAATAATAGAACACTTCACCAAACATATTTTATTCATGATTACAATTTTTTATCTGCCAGGTTTCACTAACTTGC